CTGCCGCTTCCTCCCCGCCGGACCGCCTGGGCCATGGCTGCTCCCTCAGCCGCCGAGAAGGGGGCGGCCGCCGCCGCTCCGCTTCCCTCAGCCCCAGCCTGGCCCCACCTGCCAGTAAGGGCCGCTCCCATTGGCCAGCGGCGCCCGCCTCGCCCCGCCCGGCCGGAGGGGGGGGAATCATTAAAGGGCCAGCAGCACCGTCTGGCGAGTTGGGGGGGGGGGGGAAGTGGAAGGTTCCAGTCCGGGTGGCCGCAGGCCTAAGTGGTATCTCCCATCTGGGGGGCTTTGAAGTGATCCCTCTCTGTGCTGCGAGAGGTGAGATTCTGCTTGAGGGTGTCTTTGGTGCATTTCCACTGCCCCCCCTTCCGGCGGTTTCCGAGCTCCCGCTCACCATCAAACACTTTTTATGGGCGGCTAGCATTGCCCATTCTGCTAACAGGACCTCTCCATCTCAGCTGGTCATGGCTGGTTGGTTTTGCTCTTTCGAGGAGGTTAACGTTTCAGACTGGGTCTTGCCAGGGGACCTTCCCCACAGAGCAGAGACCGCGCGTGTGAAATTTGGGAAGATGGGACTCAGTCCACCCCGGGTCACAAAATCTCTCGCTAGAGCTACGGGCCCAGGGACTGGGCTCAGTGGGGTATAGTTTGGCTGCACTTCCACAGCGGCTCATGCCAACTCTCACGGACTGGCTCGCGCTGCCGTACCTGCTCTGTGGATAAATGGAGGGTTTCCGGCTCAGCCTGCCGTGTGGTTTTGCGTACCTGTGCTAAACTCACAAGAGCAATGCATGTTTTCTAAAGTGAATTGGATTTAAAGCTTTTCAGAGCAGCACGTCGATTCGAGCCAGAGTTACAGAGTTACTGGGTTACATTTCACTTGCACTAGAGTAGCCGTGGCTCATAAGAAGTACATAATGACATGATGCGTTTACATGCGTCTGACGAAGTGGGGATTCACCCACGAAAGCTTATGCTCCAATACATCTGTTAGTCTTAGAGGTGCCACAGGACTCTCTGTTGCTTTTTACAGATCCAGACTAACACGGCTACCCCTCTGATAATGACATGATTTAATCTTTTCTCTTGGCTACCCTCAGAGACGGCCCATGCCTGGAGGGGTGGAGCGGCAGAGTGAGGGCAGATAGGTTCAGCAATGTGTGAGCATGCTCAGTGCAAGCCAAGCCGCAAATCTGGGGAGGGAGGAACATGACCCCGGATGCCCCCCTCCCCGCACACGTCACCTCTGTTACCCCTATCAATAATTACAAGATAAGGGCTCAATCTAGGAATTTATTTAGCAAATGTAAAGCATTTCTTGTGCAGTGTATAGTTATTGCAGTAGGACGTCAGTATAGCAAACACCAGGGCTGGATTTAAATAAACAAGGGCTTGGCAGTGTCATAACTGATCCTACATTTTCAGCTGTTCACGCTAGATTATAAAGTAATCAAACTTTATGGCTTCATGGAGAAAGGTGAATAACCACCTGCAGGAGACAAGAAGATTTATTTCCCTCTATGTATGTTGCTTTAAGGGTATGTCTGCACACACACATGCAGGAGGTGGGTGGGTGTGTGGCGTATGGGACTGTGCCTTCTTCTGAAGCATCTAATACTAGCCCTTGCTGATGTACACAAGGATCTGTTCTGATATGGAGGGAGGTGGAAAACCAGACCAGATTGAGCTGGGCTCTATTCTGTGTGGCAAACCCTGTGTTCTTTGTAGATACTTGGGAATGAAAATAGGAAGCATCACCCTGACAAAGAGATTCTGTATATAGTACACATGAAATATCTGCAGTCCAATGGCATGTAGGTCTTTAACACATGGTTAGCTAGCTCCACTCTCAGATAATTCACCTCAAGCATCCCTGAGACCACCCCACTGAGGTAGACTCTCTTTGTAACTCATTATTCTACCATCAAGATGAAAGGTTTGGCTGGAACAAGCTGGTGCTGGTAAGGCTGTGAGACTGTCTGTGCCAGCTTTGCTATCAGAGTTGAATTTGCTAGGGCCTGTCACCCACAACCAATGACCTTCTCTGAACAAGTGTGAAGCAGTGGAGACACAATGAGGATCTAGTTTTTAACCACTCTACTTACTAGTGTTACACCAGCAACACAAAGGTAGGTTCTTGGATAGGGTCTTGGCTGTGGATAGGGTCTTGACTCAGCAATGGTTACAGGGTAATACAATGGGATAATTCCCACATATATAATCTGGGCACAAATAAAATCAAGTTTAAAAGTTTTATTAAGATGATGTTAAAAAAAAAGTGAACAGAGTTTGAGCGAAGAAGTTTCTGGTTCTCAGGAAATAACATACAGATTATCGAGGGTGCAAAGTTTGGTTTAAGATCAGGTGGCATAAGGAATACATAATCTGCAATATCCCCAGTTGGGGGTAAAAGGTTGATGGGTCAAAGTACAGGCATTGAGATATGAGGGTATGAAGTTCATAGAGTGGCTATGTTTGGGTGTGGGGTATAATGAGTGGATATGATGATGAGGATGGCTTGACCCACATTTGGTGAGATTTAATGTTCAGGGAGTTTATGGTTCCAGTTCATATGATCCAACGGAGAAGGTCACTTGGTCCCTTTCTCGCAGTGGGAGAACGATGTCACTCTGTCTCACGCCTCCTGGTACTGTCGGTGGCCGGTGATGTGCTCGATGTAGATGTCCCTGGACCATCGGATGGCGTCTGAGACCATGAGGCATCGCATGAGCCGTGCATAGCGTTGACTGATCCCGCAGGTCCACAGCACACGCTCGTTGCAGGGGTCCTAGGTGCCCAGGGCTCCGACAATCAGGGCATCCATCTGCACCTTGTAGCCCTTCACTCTCAGGGTGTCAGCCAGGGGGGCGTACTTTTCCAGCTTACGACCTCAGGCTTCGCGAAATGCCGGGGTCCTGTTCTCAAAGGAGACTGTAACGTTGACGAGGATGATCTTTTTCTGGGCCTCGTTGGTGATGACCACATCAGGTCGTAGCTGGGTGTCGGTACCAGGGATGGTGCAGTTCACGGAGATCTCCCCGAGGCGTGGCGCGATGGCTTTCACCAGGCAGTTGTCCATCAGGGTGTCGAAGTTCTCGAAGTCCTCAGCCTTTGCCAGCTCCTCCATCCAGGCGGATTGCCACAGCGTGGCGACCCTCGCTCGCGGCTGTCGCTCCTTCTGCTGCGTTGTCTCCGCAGGTTCCGGTGCTGCAAGGACGGTCTGCGGCCTTGTTGTCCTTCGGACTGGGGAGCAGTATTCAGGTGGGTCTTGAGGCGGGGGCCCTGGTGTGGTGGGGAGGGCAGCTCTCGGTGTCTCCGAGACAGCGCTGGATCTTCCGGGAGGGAGTGGGGTTCTGGAAGCACCGGTGCTGGGCTTTGTGGGGGCATGGTCGTGTTTGGGAGCGCTGGGGATAGTTCTGGTTCTTCTGCGGGCTGCATCCAGCTGGGGGGTCCTCGGTGGGGCATGGGGTTTTTGGCGGTCGGAGGCTCTTTGGGTAACCTTGGAGGAGG